TATTGTCACTTCTACAGCGTAAATAGATGGCTACTCCATATGCGTGTTCTGATGCATCTGAAAATCCATGAATTTGTATATCAGAAAAACTATCCCTGTAAAACATATTCTACTGACTTTCAAATTGTTGATAGATTGCATTGAATCAATAAAAAGTTGCCAATCCTTAATTATCTTCTCGGGTAGCGGATCGTTCCAATCAAGCTTCAATAACCAAAGTCTTTGGATGAAGATTTTTGCTTTTGTTATCCCTGGACCAAGCAGTCCTAATGGATCATAAATGCGAGCAATATCAGACAACACTGTTCTCTTTGTGTAAGGTAGTTGGTTTCTTGATCATCGTTGATTTGTACGAAAAAACAATCTATCTTTGGATTCCATAATAATAATCCTAAAGTTTTGATGCTCTGATCGTCATCGAAATTACTGAAAGAATATTCCTCTTGTCCATCCGGAAACTGCAAAAGATCAGGATGATTAGCACACCATCTGTGCAGACGCATTCCTCCACGTGATAATAGGTTAATCAATTGCGACTGTAATTCTTTAGACCTCTATTAGAGTATGGGCTCCTGTGAGTACGTCATCGACATAAAAAATCCCTTTGTTACTATTGGCGCTGCCTAACGAAAAATTATTTTTCTCGTCTTCTGCTAATTGATTAAGTGTGCGTGTTGCTAGATATGGTGCGTTGGAAGTACCGTAAGTTATAGTCTTCAGTCTATAGACCTTAACTGGTTCTTCTTCACTACTCTTCCATAAGATGCGTAATAAATCTCTTTGATGTTCTTTAATCAAAATCTGACGATACATTTTTACAATGTCTGCTGTGAAGGCAATTTTATGCGTTTCGAAATCTGCAAATAATATCAAATAGTTCGTCTTGAACTAACCCTCCATTCAGCAGAATATCGTTTAACGAAATTCCAGTAGTCGTAGGAGCAGTGGCATCGAACACTACCCTAAGTTTAGTGCTAGGTTTCTCGGGCCTGAAACCCCATGGTGAGGAAGATAATATGAGAAACTAGAGCTATCCCCTTCATCAATTTCTTCGGAATGGCCTAATTCATTATATTCCTTAATGAAATCTTCGTATAAGTGTTTCATTGCGGGATTGCGAGTGAAGCGTTTAAGTAGATAATTCAGTCTTTTGCTAGCGTTTTCTCTAGATTCCCCTAAAAGGCTAAGTCCTTCCTCCTTAATTGGCATTTCCACTACATATCTGCCATCATCTTGCCTCGTGTGTGTACGAAGAAAGTGCTGTTCACAAAATTCCTCTTCCTGACTTTTCACTTTTTTTGCTTCATTAATACCTTCAATCTCCCAAAAACCTTCTCATGTTGTCAGATAAATTATCCCCATTTTCCACAAACCCACAAAAATTATCAACACTGCCTTGCTGCGGCATGCGTACTGACCCGCTAACGATGTATCCAAAAACTGACTGATGGAGAATCAGGTCTTGCATATTTTTCTATTTGTCCCCAGTAAATCAAAAAAATATTTCGTTAGATAATAAAACATGTATTTGACCAGGTTTATAAAACTCTGGATCAGCTAAACCAATGAGTTGCAACTGCTTAACATCAGGAATGTTTATATATCTAGCAGGCGTTACGCGAAGTTATTTTTGGAACAACAAAAAATTGTAACAGGTACGAATAAAATCTCTAGTAGCGTTAGCGATGGTTGCTATAGCTTTTTCCTTAACACTCATAACTGTATCCATTGATACCCGAAATAGAAGCGTTTATTTTTCTTTTCTTCAAATTCAATAACTTCAACACCTTCTTTAGTAATGAAATTATTTTCAGAACTAGAATCCAAGCAAGGCTCTCAGCGAGATATAAATTTCCCATCATTACCCTTTAACGAAAATAATTGCAGTTGAAAGTAGAACTTGTTGATTAAAAGAAACTGGAAATATTCAGCGCAGTACCGTTAATGGACTTTGCTTGGTTGGTTTCATTAGTGTCACTAACCTTTTGGCTGCTTGCCATTGGAGTAAATGTATCAGCATTTGGAGAAAGATTACTGCTTAAATTTATTAGTCTTGTTTGTTGATTTGATTCGATGTGCCATTTGCTCTATCGAAGACTCGAAAATTTTCTTCATTTCGATCAAAATGTAAGAGCGAATTGTGAAATTTCTGACATTTTCTGCATGTATTAGAACTTTTACAGTCCTTGAATTGTGTGGACCGAAGATAAACAATTGAAACACAGTAGTTTTTTTTGTCTTTACAAATTCCAAATCTTTTTTCGGTTGACTGCTAAATTTAAGAATTGCGCACATTTTTCAACAATAAATGATCACCTCTGCAATAAGGACAATTTTTTTAATTTTCCGAAAATGATGTAAGAGCTTTGGTATTAAATGAACATTTCAATTCCCCATGCGGAGGTTTGTAATGTGATAATGTGTGAACGTGTTCCTTCCAAAAAACATGTCAGTTGTTTAACTGTTCCTATTTCATCTTTTTTAAGTGATCTTTCCCATCAACACCGAGTATTTCTATCCAACTTTTCAACTAATAAATAAACAATTAACGTGTCTGAAAATTCTTCCACCTTTTGCTCCAATGCTTCCAAGGATCGTAAACATTCATGCACCTTATCGATAAATTTTAAAAGCGACGAAGTATAATCACTCGTTTGTGGTATAGAAATTAATTTCTTTATGATAGAATTGATCAAATCTTTTTTTTTTTGTTTTTTGCAATAGCGCTCAACCAACAGATTCCATGCTATGTCATAATTCGAATCTGAAATTGGAATGGAATGAATAATATTTAACGCGTCTGCCTTACACGAACTCTTTAAATATTGCAATTTTTGCGCATTAGTTAATTTGCTATTTTTATGCACAGCTGCGGAAAATAAAAATCCTCAAATTCAATTCCATTCTTCGATTTTCCCACTAAATATTGGAAGAGACAATTTAGGCAATTTTATATCCGAAACAATTATGTCTTGACTCGAACCGTTTTCATTTGAGCAGCTATTCCTTTGAGAACTGGATCTCAGAAAGTTTTCTTTTAATTTTCAAATGAATTTCATCGAGATTATCTACTACGTTTTCCTTTCCTTAATGAATTCGTCAGTGTCCTTTTCTTCACAATGTGCAAATAAAGAATCGAAAAATGTTACTTAATTCCTTTTTAAATTCTAATATTTTTGATTCGTATAAACTCCAATAAGGAAATATCTGCTTCATCCACTGTAGAATTTACCTTATTTTCAAACTTTCTGATACTGCATTTTAAACTTTTTTTGTTAGCTTTAATCGCTTTCAATTCACTCATCATGAACAAATAAATAATTTATCACTTACCGTGATTGCAGATTTCTCGACAGCAACACCGGAAATGAACGATGACACAGTATCCAATCTTAATTGCGTAATCCACACGAAAACGAAAGCATTCCAAACACTCTATATGAAGTTATGCGTAATACAACTAAACGAAAGTATTACAAATGTTCTAAAAAAGTTAATTTTAGCAACGATGTCTTTTTACCTGTGGCTCGGCGGGGCCATAAAGTGTTCATGCGATGCGTGCGTTGTTATACAACAATTTCAAAATTAACTAGAAGTGGACTGTACTAAATATTTTATTCAACAACTTTAATCAAATGCGTGTCATCTTCAAGCGATGACTTACTACTAATAACAACAGCAATAAAAAAAAACTGAGTAAGCGTTTACAGGGTTGCTGTAATGAACATCTGCCCCATGCAAGGCGCCAAGAAGAGAAAAAATGACGTAATCTTACAGTTAAATAGTCTTAATGACTTAACACCGTCCTTTGCAGGGAAGCAGTCTCACCGTAGCTGTGCATGTCGCAACAATATTTTAGGAATAGAATTCACAAAACGTGGCTGTGCTTACACTTCGTGGTGCAACAGTTAGCGCACTCGGCTCGTAATTAGAGAGATCCAGGTTCAAGCCCCGGCGAGGGCACTGCACGTTTTTCATATCTCCTGCATAAAAAAAATCTAATTTCTCAACAATGGCGCCCGAACTAAAAGGTGGTGGATAATGATTATTCGCCACCAGGATTTGGCGATTGAGTCCCCTAATCCCCAGTCATCCTTCAAAAGAGGGAGTATTTAAGACATTTTCTCCCTCTTTTCTGCATGCCTTCGAGGTGTAACGGTAGCGCACTCGGCGGGTATTTGAGAAGTCCCGATTCGAGTCCCGGCGCAGGCATTGCGTATTTTTCATGTTTCCAGCATCAAAATAATCTGATGACTGTACAAACAAGACAAAAAAAAAGTTTTTTAAAGCCATCTTAGTAAAAAAATTACCTCTGATATAACAAACTGAGAAAACAATAGGGGGGGAAGGAAAATGTAAAAAGCAGAAAAAATGTATGCAGACAAATAGCTCTCTGTATTGGGAATGCTAAACGTATACTGCTATGTAGACTGCGAGGTCAACGAGAGCGTAAAAAACCTTAACAAACACTTTTGGACGACCGTTAAAATCTGAACCTTTTCAATATTTTATTGTTTATTTATTTTTATGATTTAGAACTTTACCACCACTTCTCTTTCCGTTTTTCACCAGAATGCAAATCAGATTGATTATTAAAGCGTAGGTTTGTCAGATTATGAAACAGAGCGTGTTCCTGCTGGCGTGCGTGCACGTTACGTTTCTCCTAGATCTGATAGCCTGAATTACTCGGCTTTGCATAATTGATGACGAATTTGAATATATATGCCGGTCAGATTTGTGAGCCAACTTCGCGTTGGATTGCATTGTGTAGTTCTTGACTATTAGCTTATTTAATTTTAAATTGACTATAGTTTGTGAAGTACGAGGCAACATGCTCTTCTATTAAATTTACGATTTGATAAAAAGATTAATTAACTTTATCAAAATCTTCAGACATCGCGATAATTCGCGAAATAGTCTGTTAGGAGTTTTGGCTAGCAAAGAAATTCAAACTATATACAGTTACTATACCTTGAAGTTATTATGTTTCTCCTCCACAGGTTAATGAATTATATCAAGTCAGGTTCGATCCCGGGGGAAATAAAGACAGGCGGTAATCTAAAGCACAAACGGGACAATATTGTCAAGTTCCTAAAAGCCGTCAAAGACTACGGTGTTCCCAAGGAACTCCTATTCGAACCTGAGGATTTGCTGTTGCTGAGGAATTTGCCGAAAGTAACCAGATGCTTATTTGAACTTGGGAAATTGGTAAGTATGTAACAATACGGAGATATAAACAAAAAGTAAATATTTTAGAGAGTTTATTATAATAAATTGAGAAAAGGGTAATTTTTCACATCCTTGTGCGAAGTAAGGGAAGCATTGTAACCGTAGTTATCAGTTTAGTTAGATAGAGGGCTTAGAGTTTAGCTCTGAATATTGAATTATCAGTTATCAGTTTAGTTATTTAGTGAGTTCAGAGTTTAGCTCAGAGTACTGAATTATCAGTTATCAGTTTAGTTAGATAGAGTGCTTAGAGTTTAGCTCAGAGTATTGAATTATCAATTATCAGTTTAGTTATTTAGTGAGTTCAGAGTTTAGCTCAGAGTACTGAATTATCAGTTATCAGTTTAGTTAGATAGAGTGCTTAGAGTTTAGCTCAGAGTATTGAATTATCAGTTACCAGTTTAGTTATTTAGTGAGTTCAGAGTTTAGCTCAGAGTACTATATTATCAGTTATCAGTTTAGTTAAATAGAGGGCTTGGAGTTTAGCTCAGAGTATTGAATTATCAGTTAACAGTTTAGTTATTTAGTGAGTTCAGAGTTTAGCTCAGAGTACTATATTATCAGTTATTAGTTTTGTTAGTTAGTACTCAAGTATCAGCTGTCAGTTCAGTTGGTTAATGAGTTTGTGAGCTTACAGCAGCCATTCTCAAGTAGGTATTCTCAAGGGTGGTATGCAAAGAAATAGAGTATTTTTATCTATTAAATTCAAAAATCTTGTGGGGGGGGAAAAAGAACAGTTGATAAAAATTTCATGTGATCGAACTCTAACTGAAGATTTAAAAAAAGAAAAAAAAAAAGGACGGTTCTATATCTCCCGTTCTTCTGGGCCACTTGACGGAATTCAGCTTGCGTTTTTCATGTATCGAAAGCGCGACTTAGGATATGTATAAGATTTATCTATAGCATTGTTTTAATATAGGTATTTTGACATAAAATAGGACTTTTTCTGAAATGAAATCCAAATTTTTTTCCATATTTCGATTCTACGACTCAAATTATGCCAAACTGCCAAATTTTGTAAAAATCGCACGAGTAGTTTTTAAAAAAATAGCTTTAAAAATGTTAACTCCTCCATGTTAATTGAATACTGCATATACTTATTAATATGTCATTTTTATTAAGTTTATTTGATGCTTCCTTTTACATTTCGAAATTTAGGTTCATTCCAAATAAAATTCGCCCATTTTTTCTGATTTATTTTTAAAATTTGTATTAAATCATTTTTATAATTTTTTCGAAAAACAAATTGAATTGTAACCCATAAAAGTTTTACCATCGTCTTAAATCAGATGTATTTCTAAGCATACCCGCAAAAAATTAGAGTTTGTTATTCAAAATTTCCTAAGATATGCGGGAATTTACATATTAGCGCGTTACGTGATTTACATATTGGTTTACACACTTCGTTGAAATTATTTGAAAGTATGAACGATGTCTTTTTTCCGCTCGTCTGCAATGAAAAAAAGAAAAGGAAAATAGGTTGCTATAAATAAAAAAGTTCGCCAAGTGAATTATTCTTGGCGCAAAACTGGAAAAAAAAAAAAAAAAAAAAAAAAAAAAAAAAAAAAGGCCAAGATAAATTTTTAAATTTCCCCATAAATTTCGCGCCAAATTTTACAAAATTGGTATTTAGGCATAATAGTCAATAATAATATTCATATAATTGGTATTTAGGCAGTAATGAGTCGTAGGATCAAACTATGGAAAAACAATTGGCATGTTATTTCAGAAAAAGTCAGATTTTATGTGAAAATACCTATGTTAGAACAATGTGATATATAAATCTAATATATACTCCAAATCACGCTTTCGAGACATTTTTCCATGTCTTATATTTGAATTTCCTCAGTCGGCCCATATAGAACATAAAGGAACTGCTTTTTTTAAGTTTCCAAATTAAGGCTATTTATATGTTAAGACTCCATGATGTGATTGAAGTATATGGAACAAATATTTAAAAGTTTATTGTTAATTTATTGCAGTCAGAAAAAGACAGTTCCTTCAAAGGACCCTATTTAGGTCCAGAGCCATACGAAGCAGCCAACAAATCGGGACGAAGGAGGGGTGGACTACCTGTTGGTGACGATATCTACATAGCTCATGTCAAACTCGATAATGTCATCAAGCAACTGCACACTCCTCCGAAGAAAATTATCGATTTCTATAGGCCCCTTATCTTTTAATCTTTTCCTTTATGAATTTGTTCCTAATTCTATTTTGCAGTAAGTTGAAAAATAAATTCTGCAATATACAATTTTAGTTATTTAAAATTTATGTCTGCAGTTTTTAAATTTTGGAAAAAAATCGCAAAATAAATTATAATTGCATGACAAATTGAATTAAATACTTATTTGATGGTTGTAGTAATTAAATAAATTTTTGTTTTGTACATAATAAAATCTAGAGCATATTCAAAGAATTGTCTAAATTATAATTACATGAGAAATTGAATTGAATAATTAAATACTTATTTGATGTCTGTAGTATTTAAATTTATTTTTGTTTTGTACATAATAAAATCTAGTGCATATTCATTGTCTGTACATAATTTCTCAATTATCATTCACAATATAAAAGCTAAAAGGTCATTTTAATTGTCATATTACTTTTCTTGTAAATATAAAAGTAAATAATAAATAAATAAAATCAGACATATGTGATTTAGATTATTCGTTACTGATTCATCATTCCATTTGCAGAATTCTTTCGAATGTTTGTTTTGCAAATTGATTACAGATGGCGCCATCGGTAACAACACTATAAACTGCAAACTGGTTAATATGTTTCCAAATTTTACGCGGATGACATATGTTTTATAATTATACTGTCCAGTAATTTAGTTAGTATAGATTGGTAACACCACAAACTGAAAGAATGAGTTTTGTATTTGAGTTATGCATTTAATACATAGCTTTAAAAGTGTCTTTTACCATTTATAATAAATATATTTCTCAAATTAAATTAATGGGTTTTAAGTGAATTTAATTTTAAGATAAAATTAAGTACGTTTGATTTATAGATAATATTTGTCTGTTATAACTGAATTATATAATATGTCGCGAATAGAAAAATTAACGAAGTACATTATCATGACGAGTGTTCACTTCCACGCCTGTCGAATTAATTTCTTCCTTTTCGTTGCCCTGCGTTGGCAACACGCTTTTGAGATTTATCGTTCGTAGGATTCGGTCGCTAAAAGCGTAGCTGGCCTGTAACGGTTGTAATTATTTTATGCTTATCTGTACTCCTGAATTATACTAAATTTACGTGTGATGTTTTATATTAAAGTATCAGTTGGTTGAAATAGACGAGTGACTGATTTTAAGGATGTTACGTACCTCGTATTAGAATGGCGCCGACATGGATGACGCAGTTTCGACTTTAATATCCTTAATAAATTCAGTCACTCTCGGTCTATTTCAACCAAACTGAATACATTTAATAATAAAACATTCACACGTAAACATTTAGTAATAATTCAGGAGTACAGATAAGCATAAAATAAGAATTACAACCGTTACAGGCCAGCTACGCTTTTAGCGACCGAATCCTACGAACGACAAATCTCAAAAGCGTGTTGCCAACGCAGGGCAACGAAAAGGTAGAAATTAATTCGATAGGCGTGGAAGTGAACATACTCCCACCCTATCAGGTTTAGTCCTGATACACAGGCAAAGGTGAAAGTTTATTAATTCCTCTTTTGAAAACACCAGTTTTAGTTTTGACAGTGGCTACGCGAGCTAAGCCGTCCTTGCCCGGATGGACATCGATGATCCGTCCAATAGGCCAAGCTAGCGGTGGAGATCCATCTTCGATGATAAGAACCACCGTGTCGATTTTTAGATTGGGTCTGTTGTACTGCCACTTGGATCTCTGCTGAAGCGAAGTCAAGTATTCCCTTTTCCATCGCTTCCAGAATCCCAGACGTAGATTCTGTACAAGTTCCCACCTAGAACTCCTTGTGCGTAAAGTCTGATGGCTCTCTGGAAAGGAAGTTAAAGTATCACCTGTAATGAAATGAGAAGGGGTTAAAACATTAATAGACAGTCAATATCAGTATCGTTCACGTAAGTAAGTGGACGTGAATTCAAAATAGCCTCGATCTGGGTAAGTAGTGTTGACAACTCTTCGTAGGTTAAAAGAGTCTCTTTCAATACTCTTCTCAGATGAAATTTCGCTGAGCGAATGCCGGCTTCCCATATTCCTCCGAAGTGGGGCGAAGCAGGCGGTATAAAATGCCATTCAATAGATGACTTAGTTAGTTCTCGGGAAACCGATTCCGTTGCATACAAGGAAGACCAAATCTGATTTAGTTCTTGTAGTTTTCGGCATGCTCCCACAAAATTGGTACCGTTGTCACTGTAAATGTGCCGTGGTGCACCGCGACGTGAAATGAAACGTCTAAGTGCAGCGATAAACGAGTCTGCCGTCAGGTCACTGACTGCTTCTATATGCACAGCTTTAGTCGACAAGCAAACAAACAGAGCTATATAGCCTTTCGTTGTTTTAGAGCCACGACCCTTATTAAATTTCATGGTAATAGGACCAGCGTAATCCACACCAGATGCGTAAAAAGGTCGTTCCAAAGTCACACGATGTTCAGGTAAGTCACCCATCAATTGCGGATTTGAAGCAGCTTTAAATCGATGACATATTAAGCAATGGTTGACACAACTGCGTATCAGTTTCTTTCCTCCAATTATCCAGTAAGATTGTCTGATGAGGTGTGATAATAAAGAAGGACCAGCATGAAGGTAAGTAATATGAAGTTCTTTCACTAGTAATTCGCTAAATTTATGTCGAGAAGGAAGTATGACAGGATGTTTGATGTTAAATGCTAAAGATGAATTTCGAAGACGTCCTCCCACCCGTAAGAGACCATCTTTATCTACGAATGGATACAAAGAACGTAGTTGGCTCTTCTTGGGTAAAGGTTTCTCTTCTTTAATACATTGTAAATCATCTTTGAAATAATGATTCTGAATCCAACGAATAATGAAATTTTCTGCTACTCGAATCTCTAGAAATGTTAGCGGCATAAGGCAGCTGGAGTTAATGCCACTACGTGAAATGTTCTGAGTAACATGATGCTTCTTGCAATTAGTAATAAATCTTTGGCAGTAAGCCAGAATACGAACAATTTTACAACGCGAAGAATAATGCTCGAACAAATTAGCTAATAAATCATTCGATTCACGTATATGAGAAATAAAAATAGGATCAGATCTTTGTTCGGCCTTTACTTCAGCATCATCTTCAGATTTTAATTCATATTCAGGCCATTTTTCCTCTTCCTGACGCAACCATGGTGGACCATTCCACCACAAAGTACAATTTGGTAGGAGTTGAGGTTCAATACCACGAGAAGCAATGTCTGCAGGATTCTGTTTAGAGGGAACATGATTCCAATGTTTAATAGGTATCACTTCTATGATTTGAGATGTTCTGTTTGCCACAAAAGTTTTCCACTTACGTGGATGAGCTGATAGCCAAGACAGAACTACCTTGGAATCCGTCCACGCAAAGATTTCAAAATCAAACTTCTTTAAAATGTTCAATAGAGATCGCATTAATCTGGTCAACAAATACGCAGCACAGAGTTCTAATCGAGGAATGGATACTTGCTTTATAGGCGCGACTTTAGTCTTTGATACCAAAAGATTAACCTTAACCGTACCATTGCACCTTTTGGCGACAGTAAATGGCTGCTGCATAAGCCTGCGAAGATGCATCAGAAAATCCATGTAGTTGGATAACACTGTCCGTTGTAAGTATGACACATCTCGGAATTTCACAATTATTGATTTGACTGAATGTCTCTTGAAATTTAAACCAATCATCTGAGATATGCTGGGGAACAACTGAATCCCAGTCGCCTTTAACTAACCATAGTTTTTGATAGAATATTTTAATCAATATAGTGCAAGGAGATAAGAGACCTAAAGGATCGAAAATGCGAGCAGATTCTGCTAATATGCGTCTTTTTGTTATAGGTGCGTTGATGTGCAGTGTAGCTTTAAAACTGAAGGTATCAGTAGTTGAATTCCAAAAAAGTCCTAAGACTTTCGAACTCGAATTAGGAGATATCTCAAAATCAGAATTCAATGAACAATGTTCCTTAAATTCAGTTAAGAATTCTACAGAATTTGAATTCCGCTTCCTCAAATCAAAACCACGTGCATGTAAAATTGAAGATATTTTCTTGCAGACAGATACTGCATCATCAACTGTATTTGCACCCGACAATAAGTCGTCCATATACATATCCTCTTGTGATATACGAGATACATCTGATTCCTCTTTAGACTCTAAAGCTTATGCTTCAGACATCGAGTTGCTGAAATTTTATCACTGGAATTGTATCGCCAATGTATCAATTGATAATTCTGATCTTCAGGGGCTACCATCACCTGACGATACATCTTCTCCACATCGGCTGTGAAAACAATTTTAGGAAATCGAAAATTAATCAAAATCTCAAAAATATCTCTTTGTAATTTCGGACCTACCCCTAAAAGAGAATTCAATGATATACCATTTTCAGATTTGCAGGATGCATCAAAAACTACTCTTAATTTTGTCGTTGTGCTAGAAGGTTTAATTACCGCATGATGAGGAAGATAAAACTTTTCTATATCCGATCTGTTAGATAAATCATCATTAATCACAGTCATATGTCCTAACTGTTCATATTCACGTATGAAATCTTTATACTGTTTTTCAAATTCCGGATTATCTTTGAATTTTCGTTCCATGGAACGCAACCTAGAAATTGCTGCCGGTTTTGAATCACCCAACGAGAAAATGGAAATTACTTCCCTTAAGAGATTTCTGATATTAAAATAATATCCTGTTGCATCAATACTACTATGAGGAAACATTTAGTTTTGTCATAATAATATTGCAAAATTCGTATAATTCTGGTACCATTTTGTATGTATGTCACAAATTATTATAATTATGATGCCATGTTGTCAATAAATTTTATGAATTTTATTGCATTAAACATGTGAAAGTCATTTTAGTTTTCATTTCTCAATCACGATGAATCGACATATTAAATTACAGCATAACACTGGAATATAATAATCTTCCCATTATACGCTAAATTTGTATAAACATTCTATGAGAAAATATAACATCTAAACATTATCAGAAGTGAATTATTAGCCATTCTCTTCCAATGACCATATTCTGCTGTTATATGATTATTATTTTGTTTACGCAATGATCGGATTCATATGTATGAATTTAAAAAGAAAATTAGATTTTTTTACAGATCAAAGGGAAGAATATGAAGCACAATATAGCAGATTTTAGATTATTCGTTATTGATGCATCATTTCCATTAGTAGAATGCTGTCGAATGTTTGTTTTACAAATTGATTACAGATGGCGCCATTGGTTTATGTACTATGGTAGGTTTGTTTAAACTGCAAACTGGTTCGTTTGTCTGCATTTGGAATGCAAAAAGTAAGAAAGATTTGTTCCATATAAAACGTTTATATCTATTTCAAAATTAACTTGATA